GAGCAGCCCCATCTACGAGCATTTCAGGTAACGAGCGAGCCACTAGCACAACCTTTGTTTCGATTGACAAGTTTCCGCTTCGTTAGTGATCTGTCAGCATGTATGTGCGCGCCTGCGCCTACTGTTGAGTCTTGCCCCTAGGACGAGGGTCCTCGGCCGCCCGCAGCCAATAAGTGAACTGATGCGGTTTCATTGGCTATGCTTCACAGAACGAGAGTTTCACATGACGAGCCGAGTGCCAGAACAGGGTAAACTCGTAAACCGGACTTCCACTGCACTTAATCCTCCAGCTTGCCGCCTTGGGTGCAAACCCCGCAGAGGCCGCTAATGTTTTTCACAATTGAGTAAAATGAATTATGGTTTGATTTCTTGCGCCCTTTGAGGGAGTGACGATCTCTTTCCAAGCGATCGTCACTCCTTTAAAGGGTGCAAGAAATCAAACCACAGTCAAGACTCCTCAAAGATCTAGAACAGTACGTATACAACCATTCCTCTCTGACAATTGGTACAATTTTAAATGAATTATTCAAATCCGCCAAATCCCTCTATTAGTGGTCTTATCTGTCAAGCAAAAACCTACAACCAGAAAACATATTTACTGCTTACCCACTATCCACATCTGCATTCCCAAATTGTAAATCGTCACTATAAACTTTAGCCGGAAAAGTTTGTAAACAGCAGAGAAGATTAACAAGCCGGGGGGGGTGGCTTTAAAAGCCGGGATAGACATTGTAAGGTAAAATATGTTTTCTACTAGATGGAAAGAAGTCATTATTCTTCGAAATTTCTGATGAACTTTATTTCTCCGATTTGCTTCATTTGTTCCTGGTGCTTTTCTGTGTTCACTTTTATCCGTTTTCTCCTTTAATAGTAATTACCTAAATACTACAAATTTCAGATTAAACTAAGTGTTTTGGGTATTCGAAAAGTTGTGCACAGTTCGTTATGCATATGTCGGTCAACAAAATTTCTAATGTGACTGAATCTAGAGAGATCAATCTAGTTCTCCAACCCTTGATTTTTAGCTCCTCAGCATATTGATCGCGACCATGAGTGTCACTATAAAAACCTGATTTAAGACCAACCATATGTTGCTCCTTCAGCAAGATGGTTTTTCGCCAAGGCCCGTTTGCGGCAGTAAAGAACCTATCCGAGAAATAAAGCCAATTCTTCGAAAAACATTTATCGAAATACTGCATTCTCGGAGAGCTTGGTCGGTTGTCTATTCTCAACCCAGATGTTGCAGATAATCGGGCGTAGCACTTTTTTCGACCTTGGGGTGATCC